ATGGCTACTAGATCAGAATCTGCCTCTCAACTCCAGGAGTGATCCTTATTGGCATTAAAAGTTTGGGAAGTATTGATTTAAGGACACCAAAGAATAATATGGATTGTTCATGAAACCATGGATACCCACAGATCTAGGCTTCTGGAGGGGTGTGAATTATGAAGATTTTAAAATCTTTTACAGGGGTGCCTGAGTGGCTCAGTGGGTTAAGCCTCTGCCTTTGGCTCAGGTCATGATCTCAGGGTCCTGGGATCGAGTCCCGCATCGGGCTCGCTGCTCAGCAGGGAGCCTGCTTCCCCCACCTCTCTCTGCCTGCCTCTCTGCCTACTTGTGATCTCTGTCAAATAAATAAATAAAATCTTTAAAAAAATAAAAATAAATTTAAAAAAAGAGAACAGTATATGATAAAATGACAACATGTATTGAACACTAACTCTATCTCAGACACAGTATTAAGCACTTTGCATTTATTGTTTTATTTAATTCTTATAATAGCTCAAAAAAGTGGCCAATCAGAGGCACCTGGGTAGCTCAGTTGGTTAAGCATCTGACTCTTGATTTCATTATAGGTCATGATCTCAAGGTTGTGAGATCAAGCCCCGAGCACTCAATGGAGAGTCTGCTTGTCCCTCTCCCTCTCCTTGCTTGTGCTTTCATTCTCTCTCTTTCTCTCTCTCTCAAAAATTAAAGATGGCCAGTCATTATCCTCATTTTGTAGAGTAGGCACTGAAGTTTATAGATATCAATGAACATGTTCAAAGTCACTGAGCTAGTAAAAGGTGGTTCTGGGATTTGAACCCAGACAGCGTAATATTAGGGCTTCCACTTTGAGTTGATTAGTGTACTATGCTGCCTCTCCAGCCCAAATAAGGGAACATTCATGGGAGTCAGATGGAGCACTGTGCTTCATGGAGGTTAGGTAGCATTTCAGTTTTCAACAAGAGCTTCACTACACCCAGGTACAACCTCCCCATCAGTTACCAGTTCTACAGAAGGAAAATTTATTAGCAATTAAATGTATTAAATTAAATTTATTACTAATTAATTAAATGGAGATTAATTAAAAAGTAAATTAAGCACAGTGATCAAGCAGTATCAATAATAATGGTGAGAATGGACACGATCTGCCTCCTGGTATGACACACTGACATAAGCCCAACCTCACCACATACCTGCTTGCCAAAAGATGTTTAACCTGGGCGCACCTGGGTGGCTCAGTGGGTTAAGCCTCTGCCTCAGCTCAGGTCATGATCTCAGGGTCCTGGGATTGAGTCCTGCATCAGGCTCTCTGTTTGGCAAGGAGCCTGCTTCCTCCTCTCTCTCTGCCTGTGTCTCTGCTTACTTGTGATCTCTCTCTGTCAAATAAATAAATAAAATCTTAAAAAAAAAAAAGATGTTTAACCTGGATCAGATCAGAAGGGTGACAAACCCAGAATGCTGTTATAGATTACAGAAGACTGAATAGACAAGCCAACCCAATGCTCTGGGTAACTCCTGTCTGAATCCTGAAAGGGTTAATGCTGGCAGAGATACCTGTAAGTGGTTATGGACACAGTTCAGGATATATGATTAGGAACAGTCTGTATCTTAAGTAATAGAATTTTAGTGGTGTTGAATTAATTGAGTGTGACCATTGTATTCTAATTGTGCAGAATGAGTCCTTGTTCTTGGGCTATAGATGATGAAGGATTTTGGGTTTGAGAATGATTTATATGTTTCTTCTTACATGGTTCAAAAATAGAGGAGCAAGATAAATCAGATGTGTCAAAATGTTAATTTGTGACTGCAGATGAAATAAATATGGATGTTCGTTATACTATTCTTTTGACTTTTCTATAGGTTTAAAACCTCAAATTTAATATTTGGGAAAAAGTCACTGGAGTAAGAAAAAGGATAGTGTGTGGTGGGGAAGAGATGTAAGGATGAGGAGCTAGGGAGAGAGTCATGCTTGGACGACCATAAACTACCCGAAACTTCGTTGAGACAAAGGTAGGTCACCTGCCAGTGAATGTCATCTGTATGTATTTGGAAGTATAAAATTACAACCTACAGACAGATCATTGATGACTTTGGTGTGGTTTGTCAGCCCTGCTCTACTATCATTGGTGGGTAGTTAACACTAGAGTCCCAGGATTCCCCCAACACCGTTCATTTTGAACCAATATCCCCAAGCATCTTTTGCCTCAACCCAGAAATGTTTGGGGAAGTTCCTCATGACCCCCAACCCACTTTTTTTTTTGTTGAAGAGTTTGTCCTGGGCAGTCACATTTGTCCCACTTTACACTCACCCATAGCCACAGGGACTATATGATTAGACACCTAAACTGAGCTGGATCAGTCAGATTTCTCTCCCAGGAATCTGAAACACAGAGAAATGAATCTGTTCTGGAGAATCTGAGCTGTAAAGTAAACCATGTAGGACTAGAGCAAATTATGGCCAAGAGGATGCTGAAGCTATAAGGAAACAGAAACCATAAACGCACAGAGAAAGGTAGTCATTGGCAGAGAGGAGAATGGACAAGGTGTGTGGAAAAATACAGGTGAGAGACTTAAGTCCCCAGAGAATCAGAAACAACATATCTTTTGCATCATCCGAAGGATTCTTTTTTTTTTTTTTCATACAAAGGATTCTTAACTCCTACCTCCATTGCCCATTAGCCTTCACTTCCTCCTCACCCACCCCCTGAGAATCCTCTCTTCCTCCCTTCTCTGAACTAATAATTAGGTAAGTTTCATTCCTCTAGCAGGCAACATTCCCAAGCCCCAAAATATTCATTCCACCCTCCCCATCCCTTCATTCAATCCCTGTCTCTGAGCCAGCCCTACACCTTGGCTCACTTGAATAGCAACATGATTTATTTTACTGTTTCCTTCGTTAATGTACAGGTTGGTGGGATATTTGTTCTATTTCCAGTATACTGATTGCCTTAGGGATTCTAGAGGGCCAGGGACAGGAGCTTATGTTTTTATTAAAAAAGTAATACATGTTGATAATAGAATTCTTGGGGAGAAATAGAAAAGGTGAAAGAAGAAAAAGAAAAATCATTTATAATTCTATCATCCAGAGATAAGTCCTATTAATATTTGGGCTTATTTCTTTCAAGTCTTTTTAGACTTAACAGTATAATTCAGATTACATAGCACATACAATTTTGAACCCTCATTTCCATTACGTAGAAAGCATTTACTTATATATATACATTTTTTTTAAGATTTTATTTATGTACTTATTTGAAAGAGAGAAAGAGACAGTGCACAAGAAGGGGGGTGGAGGAGCAGAGGGGGAGCGAGAGGAAAAGAATGCCAAGCAGACTCAGCACTAAGCACGGAGTCTGATGCGGGGCTAAATCTGGTGACCCTGAGACTATCACCTGAACCAAAATCAAGAACCTCAACTTACCAAGCCACTCAGGTGCCCCACCTATATTTTTAAAGTTCTGTTAAAGTATTCTAAAATCAGCATGATGTTCAATTTGATATAAAAAATGTAAAACATATAAATATATGAAATAGTCTATTTATACCCCTATTACTGTACATGTTGGTTATTTTCATTGCTTGTCAACATAAATAACTCTGGGATCAATATCTGTGTGTGTTTTAGATTCTTAATGCAAATGGACAAACCAGTTTCACAAAAGGTTTCACTATTCACTTTCTCCTCTGGTATAAAACTTTCTTGCATAGCATTGCTGCCATTGTTTCAATGTTTACAGATTTAATCAAAAAAATGGTAGCTCATATTTGTTTGCATTTTTTAGTTTTTATTTAAATTCCAGTTAACATACAGTGTAATATTAGCTTCAGGTGTACAATGTAGTGACTCAACACTTCCATACAACACCCAGTGCTCATCCCAACGAGTGCCCTCGTTAATCCCCATCATCTGTTTCCCCCACCCCACCCCACCCAACGCCCCTCTGGTCACCATCAGTTTGTTCTCTAGAGTTAAAGGTCTGTTTTCGGTTCTCTTCTCTCTCTCTCTCTCACTTTTTTTTCCCCTTTGCTCATTTGTTTTGTTTCCTAAATTCCACATATGAGTGAAATCATATAATATTTATGTTTCTCTGATTTATTTCACTTAGCATAATACTTTGTAGCTCCACCCATGTCGTTGTAAATGGTGAGACTTGTTGAACTGATCCTAATATTTTTTTATGGCTAAGTAATATTAATATATATTAATATCTCCTTTTCCTCCCAGGTCTAGGTCAGAATCACTATTCCTGAGTTCCCAAGAAAAGGAATGGAGGTAAGGGAAAGTCTAGTGACTCATTTAAGTTATGCTAAGATTTAGAAGGAGATGGCGAACTTGATGAATGGGCCAAAGGTGCAAACTTCCAATTACAAGATAGAGAAGTACCAGGGATGTGAGTACAACATGATAGCTGTGGTTAACACTGCTCTAGGGTAGATTTGAAAGTTGTTGAGATAGCAGCTTCTAAGAGTTCTCATCCCAGAGAAAAAAAGCATTTTTCCTCTTTTTCCTTTTATCTTTCTATATGAGATGATGGCTATTAACTCACTATGGTCATCATTTTGCAATATATGTAACTCACATCATTATGCTGTACACCTTAAAGTTATACCGTACTGTATGTCAGTTATATCTAAAAAAAAAAAAAAATTAAAAAAGGACTTAAAGACTTTTTTAAATCCTCTTAAAAATGCCAGAGAATCTCACTGTTCAACTGACCCTAAACTTATTTTATATGGGAAGAAGCTATTGAAAATGCAATTTAGTCTTCCTTTGTTCCTAATCTCCAGACTTGTCACAAGATGTTCACATTTCATTTTGTAATTGTAATAGCAGAAGTCATTTTATATGTCTACAATTTTACCTCCCATAGAAGCTAGAGATGGCTCATACCAGATCAGGAAAGCTGATTGTTAAATCTTGAGGAATTTCGTGAGCCCATGGTTAAATTACATCAGCTTAAAAATCTAATAAATTATAATTAAAAAACAACAGTTTAATAAATATTCCAAACATCATTTCCTAATTATTTTGCTATACTTTATTACCATCTGTGTTCTTGAGTTTATTTGCATCTACTGCATCTGTGATGGAGACTCTATACAATGGTGCGTATCTCTTCCCAGCTTTGCATTCTGTGATGTCACATCTGTGCCTTGAAATTTGCCACGGTAGTACGTACTCCACTGAAATTGGAAAACACCACAAATCAGGGCTTTCCCCCTCTCTCCCACAACCATAGTCCACTCTGCAAAGGCGACAGCCATTTTTGAATTCACCAGCCCACCAATGCAAGGAGAGTGTATTCGTTGGTGGACAGATTCAGGATTTATGGCAAAAGCTTGCGTTCCAAAGTCAGATAAACTTTTAAGTTCTCCTTCCGCTTCTGTCATTTACCAACACTGTGACTTTGGGCACATTATACAACTTCTCTGAACCTCACATCTCTCATTTATAGACTGAGAAGAATATCTGTCAAGATGATTTTATTTTGAGATATTGACAACCTAAATTTGCTAGGTATTCTTCAAGGTGTATTGTCATATCAAAGAGATTCAATAAATGCCATTATTATTTTTACTACTATAATTATTGCTCATTAGACATAGAAACATAAAATTAACTCTAAGAGTTATCACGTCAGATAAGACAGGAAAAAAAAATCTCTCCCATTTCTATAGCAGAAGTAACTACGTTAGGGCTGAGAATAATCCAGGCTACATAAATAAAGAGGAAGGAAGTGTTGGGGGGTGGGCAGAGAAACAGAGGCAGGAGACAAAGGTGTTCCAGTGGCACAATTGGTTAGCATGCACGGTACTTCTACAGAAGGAGGAGATGAGGTTGCAGAGGGAAACGGGGACAACGTGTGCAAAGCCTGTGTGCCCCACTAAAAAACTGTACATGTTCTCAGGCCAATTAGCAGCTGTTGAATGGATCCAAGCAAAAGACTGTTACAATCAAATTTTTGTTTTAGGTAGATCATTCTGGCATCTGCATGGAAATGAAATGTAGAGAGTAAAGCTGATGAGAAAAATGAATTGGGAAGCTACTTTGGTCTAAGCAAGAGAGAACAAGGGTTTGAATTAAGGTACAACAGTGAAACCGAGAGCAAGAGCTGGTAAGGAAGACACTAAGGACCTGGCTGCCTACAGAAAGGTCTTGCCATCCTCCCGCCCTTCCTGCAGAGATAAACAGTACTAGACCAAATGCTTGTAACATTCCAATTTATCATGAACTGGAAAGATAAATTCATGCCTCCCTCTCACTGCATTCTTGATTAAAATGGTCATCACCGAGGAGCACTGAAAGATAATGGTATTAAACACTTTTTATTGAGTAAAAATTATCTAAGAATAAAATGACAAATTGATACGCTACCTGGAACTCTCTAGCTCAGGAGTTGGGAAAAGTTTTCTGTAAATGACCTGACAGTAAATACTTACAAATTCAAGAGCCAAACAGTACTGTCGCACTGACTCCATTTTGGGGTTATAGCATGAAAGGCGACATTGACAACTCTTGAATGAACAAGCGTGGCTGTGTTTTCACACTCTAGACTCGGCACTCAAGAGCACATGTTGGGAGGAGAGTCTCTGCCATTTTCAAATCCTGACATGTCATTATTCAGTGCTCAGTGGAAAGTCAAATGGAAGCTTGATCAGATGAAATCCCACACCTTGAGAAGGAGCCTTCACAAGTGTTTTCATTTCTCTCTGTATCCCTTAATGTGCAGTGGACACCCCCATATAACCCTGTTTCCCCAGCTTGACCCAGTGATGACTTGCCAGTAGCCTGGCAGGCTGATGCCCGGAGGTGGACTGCCAATGACCTCTCTTCTTTAAGATCCTGAAGCCTTCTGTACTTCTGAGATAAGCACTGAGCAAAAAGACCAGGTCTTGAGGCACATCTCTAAGACTTTCCCACCATATGACCTTCAGCAATCATTAAAGTGCTACTTCGTAAGTAGAGGTTGTAAGAATCAAGTGAGATAGTGAGCTTTGTTGACTGAAATTTTGAGAGATTGTAACACTGTTTTATTACTACTCCCAAAGCAGCTTTTAAAAAGTGAAACCATTTATACTCAGTCTTCTGTCCTTCTTAAGTGCCATAGAAGTTTGTGTGATCTATGCACACATCACACCACTCCTTCCAACAACCTCCCTTAGTGGTTGTTGTGGACACAATTTAAGAAATAAGTGAAGGGGAGGAGAGAAGTATAGTGAAAAGAGCCAGAAGGCCAGAGGTCTGCTCCTCACTCCATCATCTTTGTGACTTTGGGAAGATAGCATGTCATCTTAAGACCTCACATCTATACAGTGATGGGGTTGGAATACATCACTGCAGAAATGCTCAGACTAAATTTCATTTCTAGGTCCACCTTGGGGCTACATCCTCCTTCATTTTTACCTTCCCCCACTTCCATTTCACAATAAGTCCTCCCTTCTCAGTCAGTGTTTTTAAGGATGTGATCCAGGGCCACCCAATCACAATCAGCTGGGAAGCTTGTTAGAAATTCAGATGCCCAGGGACACCTGGGTAGCTCAGTCAGTTGAGCCTCCAACTCCTGATTTCAGCTCAGGACATGATCTCAGGGTTGTGAGATCAAGCTCTACATCAGGCTCTGACGCTCAGCAGAGTGTCTGCTTGAGATTCTCTCTTCCCCTTTGCCCCTCTCCCTTGAGTGCACATGCCCACTCTCTCTCTCTCCGAAATAAATAAACACATACTAAAAAAAAGAGAGAAAGAAAGAAATGGAGATGCCCAGATTTAAGTGATGAGGAAAAAAAAAAATGGGGGAGGAGGGCGTGAGACTTTGGTATCTTTATTTTAACAAGCCCGCCAAGTGATTTATACTTAAGAGAATTGACAAATTTCTACTCTAAGTTTCCTGCCTTTAATCCTCGAGGACATGGAGCACATCTGTTTTGTTTACAACTGTATTCCAAGCACTTAGTACAGCGTCTGGCACTCAGATGACATGCAATGAGCTTTTTGAATGGGTCAGTTAATGAGTCAATTGAAAGAACTCTTGAGTTCTGGAGATTTGGTCCCTCCCTTCATTGAAAATGTCCACCCTACTGGCTGCTGAGAACCTAATCAATATAGCCAATGGTTATTATTGGAGCTGCTAAAAGCACCAAACTGTGAATCTGTTTCTCCCACATGAGAGAGGCTCTGTGGACCTTTTCCTCCTGTAAGTGCTGGGTGGGGAAGGATTTTTGGACAGGAGAGGAATTTGGTGTCCCTCACTGTCAAATCACCTAAGAAATCTATCTGTTGTAATTCCCAGTGTGAAACCTCCAACTGTCTATGCCTAGAGCCTGGTAGCTTCAGAGCTGGGGTCAGTAAGGTCAAGAGGTCCCTAGTAGCACTCACTGGTCCTGCCAAGGCTTGCTTGGAGGTCACTCTGCACCCTAGTCCCAGCTCTTTGGCTATGCTAAGGATGAATATGAATTTTGGAGGTCTTCCAGTGTCTTTGACTGATTTAATCCCTTATCACTCAGATCCAGCATCCTCATGTTATCACCAAATTGCTCAAATATTATTGATTTATTCACTTAAAATTTACCCAAGACTATTAAACATCTACCAGAAGCTGACACTGTGTTGTGTGCAGACCAAAATAAATAAATAAATAAATAAATAAATAAATAAATAGATGAGTAGAAAGATAATGAATAAATAAATAAGACAGAATTGCTACATTTAAGGAACTCACATGATAAAGGGTTGTTTTATCAGAACAAGGAAGGTTAAGATATATAATAGTAAATCAAAGCAGAGTGATATTCTTAACCTTAGGGGGTGACGTGGAGAGTTGGTAATACAAACAAAGAATATTTGTTTTATACATTTATGCTTTCCACAGACATTTATGGAGTGCCTACCAAGCACCAACCACAGTCTGGATTTTCTGGAAATACACCTTTGAACATTCAAGAGCTTGAGTGAATTTACTAAGTGCTCAAGAATTAAGGAAATCAAAGGCAATGGGAGTGGCCATCATAAAGGAATGGAGCCAACCATCCACAGGACTTTCAGGTATTTTTTTTTTTTTTTCAAAATTTGCCAGTTCCTGTTCCTGTGGTGCACCATAGGATACAAGACAGACTATTTGGTAACTTGCTGATATACACTTCCACCAAGACACTCATGTCCCTAAGGTTTTAAATAATTCCATAAATGAAACTAAGGGCATTTAAGGTAGCTCAGGAGGGAAGATGGATGTGTGTGAAGAGACTGTGTGCTGACTACCAGTCCCCACTTCTAGGCCTTCTTTTATTAGTGATAAGCCTGCCTCTGCAGAGAGCTGCGGGGTTCCTTCATGAAGACTTGATGACTGAAAGGTCCAAGATTGTAGAGATAGCATCCTCTCTCCCTAGATTCTAGTAGAGCTTGTGGAACAGCCCAAGTAATTGTGGCCAAATGGGGTTCACTTTTTCAGATACTCAAAATAAATGAACTTTCTGGTACTCAGAAGTGGCCCTTGCTGTTAGAAGCTTCCAGAAGAGAGGAGGGTGGGTGATGGGAGAAAACTGTTAGTAGCAGAACAGATTGGCCAATCTTTTTTAAAAAAATTTTCCAGCTTCATGTGAATGATTTAGACACTGCAGAACCACTATGTCACATTGGAATATGTGCTTTTCACCCCTCCTGTCTAGAGCAAAACTCTTTTCCTCTTTCTTCAACCCCTTCTGACAATTTGTAGTTGGCATCAAGCATTTTGAATGTGGCATTTTGATTTGGATGATGACAAGATATTTCTTGAAACTGATTTATCTTATGCCGAATATGAAATTGGATTTGTGATGGTTGGAGCAGATGGAAAACCCATGAAAAAAATACCAGAGCGACCACATTGCAGGCCCAGGGGCTGTGAAATCAGCTTGCATTCATATGAGGAGAGGTGGTGCCCTAGGGCCCTAGCTCAGGACAGAATGGAAGAAAAAACCCAAGCCACTTGAGTTCCCTCAGGTAGATCCTCCCTCTTGCCTTCCTCCCAGGTCTCCACTGTCCTCTGGCTGCACAGATACACATAATTTCTGTCATGCAGACCTTTTCTCCCTCCACTCACCCTCCATCTCTGACCCTCGATTTATTTCCCTCACTCTCCTGACTTCTTCCTTCCACCCTTCTCCTCCTGCACCCACCCACTTCTTTCTCCTTTCCCATCTTATTCTGCTGC